AGGCGCCGAGCCAAGAGATTTTTCACAATAAGTTGAGAACAGCCGAGTGTGGTGGCTCATACATGTAATCCCAGCACTCTGGGAGGCCAAAGTAGGAGGATCACTAGAGGCCAAGAGTTTGAGATCAGCCTAACCAAGAGTAAGACCTCCCATATCTACAAAAAATAGAAAAATTAGCTGAGTGTGGTGGCACACACCTGTAATCCTAGCTACTCAGGTGGCTGAGGCAGGAAGATTGCTTGAGCCCAGGAGTTTCAGTGAGTGGCTTCAATGATCTAGGATCACACCATTATACCCTAACCAATCTGACAGAATGAGAGACCAAAGGGGGGAAAAAAACTGGGAACAATTTGCAATAGATTTCTAGTATCTGAAACAGAGCTGATGGTAGGTTTTAGCAAATGCTTGAATCACCATCTTGAACTAGAAACTCAGCTAAGTTTTTAACATTTTAATCTGCTTCTTAAGTTGGTCACCTTTCCTAATCTAACATGCACATGGCTATATTAGTTAAGATATAGGTTCAACTTCTTATAACAGTGACACAACTCAACAAAGGCTTAAATAAGACATAAATCTATTTCCCTTGGACATAACAGACCAGAAGATGGTAGTAGAAGGCTAGTGTAGTCATTGTTCTGTGAGATTATCCAGAGATTTGTTCATTCATTCCCCTTGTCACCATTGCTAGAATAGGAAAAGTGGCTCACATTTTCATTAATCAGCAGGATGAAGAAGGAAGGGAAAGAGGGTTGATCTCTCACACTATGAGCTCAACCCAAAAGTTGTACACATCATTTCATGGCATTCTCACTGGCTAATATTTAGTCACCCCTAGCTGCAATGGAGAATGAGAAATAAATCTTTAGCTGGACAGGTATGTGCATTCCTGAAAAGATAATTGCTTTAAAAGAAGATAACAGATATTAGAGACTTGACATGATGGCTACTACTCTTTGAATCACAGTGTACTTCCTTCCTTTTTCTTTAATTTTGCTTTCAGACCAGATATTTCTTTTTCTAAAAAACTCATCTATATTTTAACTCATGAGGTTCATCATAGTAAAAGATATGCAGTCAAGAAATTCTGGATCTGGCAAAAGTATCCACTGTCCAACAATTCTTGTCCACTTTCACCTTACCAGAATTAAATAATTCCACTAGAAATTACCCTTCCACTAAAATCAATATCTATTCCAAACCTAACTTAATCTATCATTGACTTGCCTGATTCCCTTGTAGTATGTCTTATCTTCTGTGTTTCCTTCTCCTGGAGTCTTAACCTTCTACATTCCTGAGTATGTGTCCAAAGGAACATGTCATACCTGTTTCCCCACCCATCATTGTGCTGTCTTGAAACTCATCAGAAATGCATGACATATTTTACAATGATCTTCACTTTCCCTTTATAAATCTGTCCAAGTTTTATGTACCCACTTAATATGATGGTTTATAGTAGTTTCCTATTGCTGTTAGAACAAATGACCACAAATCTTTATTTGTTCTCTCACTGTTCTGTAGGTCAGAAGTCTAGATTGGCACAACTAGTTTATCTTCTTTGGGTTTCACAAGGCCATAATCAAACTATTGGTCAAATAGGCTCTTATCAGGAGTCTTTGGGAAGAATCTACTTACAAGCTAATTCAGGTTGTTGTCAAACCTCAGCTGTTTATACTGATAAAACTGAGGACACTGTTTCCTTGTTGGCTGTCAGTTGGGACCCATCCTTAGCTTCTAGAGGCCTCTCTCCCATCCTTGTACATGGCCCCTACATCTTATGCTCAGAATTTCTCTGACATCTCTTCTGACATATCTCTCTTGCAGCCAGCTAGAGTAGGTTCTCTGCTTTTTAAGGGCTCATGCTAAAATGAGATTGAAACTACCCAAATAATCCAGGTTAAAGTCTGTACCCTTAATTACATCTACAAAGTCCCTTTCATCATATAATATATTATATTCACAAGTTCTAAGGATTAAAGTATGAACATGTTGGTAGAAAAGAGGTGTATATTGCATACCATGTGTTTTTTCCCAATTGCTCTAAATATGGACTCGGTAAGTGCACCTTTAGGAAGGCACTGCTCAATAGAATTGTAGAGCTGAACTGTCACAGGATAGAGTAATTCCAATACTTTTTTTTCTTCTCTTCCTATTTTTCTATGGTCTCTTTGAGACCTACACAACCTCCATGACCTAGTAACAATTGAAATATTTCCTTGTTTTCTAGTTATATCTTTAAGAATCTTTAGATTTAGGGTGTATCTTGTTTTCCCTTTCATCTCTGTTTAGCTTGCTCTCCAAGATCACATTTTTCCTAAGAATGCCTCCCATTCTTCAGCTTAAGCAGCACAATTTCCTATGTTTTTTATTCACTCTCTTATTCTGACAAGAACACTTTTCTAGTGTTTTATTATGGGAAATTTCAAACATACAATATTAGAGAAAATACTATAATGAACCCCAGTGAATAATCACTCAGCTTCAACAATTATCAACACTTTTCCAATTTTAATTCATCTATTAATTAATCTTTTCCTGGAATATTTTAAAGAAAATTCCAGATACCACGTTATCTCACTCAAATAAATCAGTATGGACCATTATTTTGAAAGAAATTCAGTACCTCCTTGATTTTATGAGCAAACCATATTCCTAGAGAAGGTTGTCCTTTAAGTTTTTTGCTTAGCCTCTTGAATTTTAATAAATTTATCACTTGATTCTCTTCTGCCTTAATACAAGAAAATAATATATCCTTTGTATGGTAAGTGTGCCCATTCCTCTAGCTCAGGGGTCCTCAAACTATGGCCCAAGGGCCACATACAGCCAGTTGAGGACATTTATCCAGCCTGCTGAGTGTTTTTGCCCCAGCTGCCTGTCCTGCTTAACAGCCTACTCATCCCGGGCCCGCAGTGCAGCATGTGTGGAATGTGCACTGCACTCTCTGACTCCCCTCCTTCTCTCTGTCTCTCAACTCCTCCTCTCAGTCTCCAGTGATGAGACAAGTCACAAGCTTGCCTGTGCAGAGCCTGCTGCTGCCTAAGGACAGAGGTAAGAACAAGTTAGGATTTATTTTTGTTTTTTAAAGTTAGGAGGTCTATTTTTTTTTTAATTTTGCAATTAGTAGGGCCTTTTTTTGCCATTAAGGGGGGATCCTTTTTTTCTGAAGTTAGGAGGTCTTTTTTTTTTTTCGCAGATGGGGGTGCCTTTTTTTGAAGTTAAGAGAGCCTTTTTTTTTAAAATTGGTTAGTTGGTTGAGGGTGGTTTCTAGGGGGGGTTGCATCACAGTGATAATGCAAATAGTCAGCGCTCAGTGCTAATGCAAATTGTTAGTGCTCAGGGATAATGCAAATTGTCAGTGGTCAGTGTTACTGCAAATGGTCAGTGCTCAGTGTTATCGCATGGGGGCCCCAAACTGGTAATCTGCCTAGGGCTCCATGGGAACTTAATTCAGCTCTACAGACAGCCAAGGAGTAGGAACCCCAATTTAATTGATAGTAAGTGCATTTATA